AAGATTATTACTTTCTTCTTGATCTAGATCGTACAATAGAGCCTAATCATAAGTGTTCATTCCTAATTCTCTTTTTGTTTACCTTCTCAATGATGGATAACACTAGGAGACGACAAGTGGCTATGAAATTTATTCAGAGGTTGGATGAGGAGACGGGAAGAGCACAAGTCAAGTGCCACCTGCTAATGTAGATCAACATGAGCCACAAAATGAGGCTATTTCTTAGGCTTCCGGGGCAGTATTCCCTCCACCCCCGGAAGGGCGTAGAGGAGCTAACATACCTCCAGTCCCTCTCCCAGTTGTTCCTGATCAGGACCTAGACATGCGGAGTGTTGTACAATTGCTGACTCGAATAGTGGCCTCCCAGGCCCAACACCAGACCCTCGGTATTGCTGATAGGTCTGTGAGTGCGAGAGTTCGGGACTTTATCAACTTGGATCCTCCAGTATTTACAGGGGTTGATCCTAATGCTGACCCACAGGATTTTCTGGATCTTATGCAACGGACCTTACAAATTATACATGCCACGGATGTTGAGTCAGTGGAGTTTACTTCTTATAGACTACGTGATGTTGCTGTGACATGGTATGAGACTTGGAAGCAAACTCGGGGGCCTAATGTGCCACCAGTGACATGGAAGGAGTTCTCTGAGGCATTTTTACAGCAATATTTGCCAATCGAGCTTCGAAGAGCCCGACGAGATAGGTTCTTACACTTAGAACAGGGTAATATGAGCGTTCAGGAATATAGCATGCAGTTCAACTCTTTGGCTAGGTATGCTCCTACGATTGTTGCTAATATGAGTGATCGAGTACACCAGTTTGTTAGTGGTTTTGGGGCACACTTGATAAATGAGTGCACTACAGCTTCTCTAAACCAAGGAATGGATATTGCCCGTATTCAAGCATATGCACAGGGTCTAGAGGATCGCAAGNGGTCTAAAGGATCGCAAGAGGCAACAACGAGCCAATCGAGAGCATGATAGAGGGCAGCAGAAGAGGGCGCGGTTCGCAGGTAACACAGGAGAGTTTCAAGGTGGATTTAGGCCACAGTTTCCCGGCGTCAATCTTATCCGGCAGCCAGTGCACCACCACAGTTTCAGGGACAACGACAGGATCAGACCACTTATTCTGGTCCAAGTCAGAGTTCATGGACCCCAGGTCCACAGTTTAGAGGCGAGTTCAGTCAGATGAGGCCTCAGTTTCCTAGATGTGATCGATGTGGCCGAAATCATTTTGGACCATGTCTCCAGGGTTCTGATGCATGTTATACATGTGGACAACCAGGTCATATTATGAGACATTGTCCGATGACAGGTGGAGGGGGTATGGCTCAGTCGACGACATCTGCAAGGGCTTCTTCTTCTTCTTCTTCGGTACGTCCTCCTAGGCAGAGTATGCAGACATCAGTTGGAAGGGGTAGGGGAAGATTTGGAGCTTCTGGTTCAGGAGGTCAGCAGAATTGCATATATGCTTTATCGAGTCGTCAGGATTTAGAGTCATCTCCGGACATGGTTACAGGTATACTATCCGTCTTTTCTATCGATATGTATGCCTTGATAGATCCTGGTTCTACATTGTCGTATATCTCCCCCTTCATTGCTAGTAAATGGGATAGAGAGCCTGAATTGTTGCATAAGGACTTTGAGGTGTCTACGCCAATGGGTGAGTCTGTTGTAGTTAGACGGGTATATCGAAGTTGTGACGTGAAGATTCATGACCGCCATACGTTAGCTGATTTGCATGAGCTAGAAATGGTTGATTTTGATATCATTATGGGTATGGATTGGTTGGCTTCTTGTTATGCCAATGTAGATTGCTGGACAAAGATTGTTCGTTTTAATTTTCCAAGTGAGCCTATTATTGAATGGAAAGGTGATGCTGCAGCGCCTAAGGGAAAGTTTATTTCTTACCTTAAAGCTCGAAGGATGATTTTGAAAGGGTACATCTATCATTTGGTACGAGTGCATGATATGGAGGTGAAATCTCCAACCCTTCAATCGGTTCCCGTCGTGAATGAATTTCCTGATGAACTTCCTGGTCTTCCTCCAGAAAGAGAAATTGACTTTGCTATTGATATGCTTCCCGATACTCAACCAATATCTATTCCTGCATACAGAATGGCTCCTGCTGAGTTAAAAGAATTGAAAGCCCAGTTGAAGGATCTTCTGAATAAGGGCTTTATCAGGCCCA